GAGCTTTCCATATTCGTTACCACTTGACGGGTCTAAATCCGCAAGTCTTGCTGCTGCCACAGCTGGATTCAAAACTTGCCTAAGTTTTATATAATTGAGGGCAGTTTTACTACTCCTTCATCCTATGTTATCCATAATCTCATGTAATGCAGCACCAGATAACGCAAGTGAGACCGTCTCACTTGCGTTCTCGGCTGCGGCGCCACTTCGAAAACCATGTAAAGTAACCCGCCTATTCCCAAAAACATGCTTCAGGGACGAAACATATTCCTTAAGCCTAGCTTGTGCACCAGAGGGACAATCACCTGATATCTGCCTGACTTGGTCACCGACCGGAACAAAAAGACACGGAATGCTCCAGTTTTGAATTCTCCAATGCTCTGTTTTAGCCTCATTTGTGCGCAAAATATTCCTATTGTGAGCGTAAAAGTGTGAGATTTGTGTGCGATTGCCTGGTATTCGATCTAGGGACCTGCGATTGCCTGGTATTTGATCTAGCGACCTGCGATTGCCTGGTATTCGATCTAGGGACCTGCGATTGCCTGGTATTCGATCTAGCGACCTGCGATTGCCTGGTATTTGATCTAGTGACCTGCGATTGCCTGGTATTCGATCTCGTTTTGTATATAATGTTCTTCATGTCTTGAAAACTGAGTTGCAGAAGGATGATTCGTTTTAGGCAAATGTTCCTTGGTGTATTTAATAAGCCAACCACATCTTAGGACGACGCTAGCTAGATTCCTGAGAATCGAGATATTGTGCTAAATAAAAGACCGAAGTGTTAACTTTTTAAAATATTTGGCAAACCCGTGCGCTAAAACGTTAGAGCATAAGTTAATGTGGAATTCTTGGAATTAGAGGGATGTTAAAGAACCCACACCACTATTCGACTAAGAGTAGGGCACGGAGTTCTCGGTGGTGTGGCCAGGGCTCATCTCACCATCATTGAGGTCGGCTTGGCGTATAGTGTTCGTATAAAGGTTGCTAGGTAATGAGACCTCATACTAATATGCAGCTAGTAACCCACAATGAACGTTGCCAAGTGCTGGAACTATGTAGATGTAGATGTAGATCCCGAGTGACAGTTTTCAACCATTCCCATGAGATTCAAGAGATAAAAGACCGGCGGCTATGTTGGAGGAATGTGCAAAAGATAATAATAAGAAATCCTTTGTTAAAATTCCTCCAAGATGGCCGCTGTGACGTAATTTGAAAACGAAGAATAGACGTTGTCATGAATTCATTGTTTCGCGTCGTGATGRGTTGCGTCGGGTATTGGTGTCCCTTTGTGCAATGCAACGTAGGATGGTCTTTCGCACTRACGCGACATTTATGATAAGCTAGATAGGAACTCATTGATGATTRGCAGRGAAATGAACCAATGTCATTCCCAGCATACCGACCGGTGCTGWACGTAATGTGAACGTAATGTGAACGTAATACTTCTGTTTCAAAATTACAATATCCGCCGGCAAATGGAATATTCCATTTTTGAAAATGTTCAATATTTCTATTACCCAAGGTTGTTATGAAAAAAGTGAAAAATTCAATTTTTTTGACAAACAAGTTGACTTTTTGAACCAGTGGGGGGTTGGCGAAAGCCGCTATAGCTTGATAGCACAGTAAGTGCATTTACCCAAATTTGTAATAAACAGGAGGTTTTGTAATAACGAAACAAATCATGTTAACTATTTTATTACAAATCCTGATGATTTTTATTACAAATAATGTTGTTTACTACATATCTGGGTAATTTATCTAATAGTCCATTAGGTCGTGAGTTCTATTATAAACAAACTARGGACGSATAMCTGCGTGAACTCGGGGTTCTTGTRGATAAAAATCTAATAGTGAATCCGCAATATAAATATTCAGCGTAAATTGTTATATCGATAAAGTATATACTTTCGTAGTTTCTTTGGTAAGTTTATCCTTGTTCCAGAGGTTTGTCTTTTATTCTTTTTGCTTACTAGATGTTATCGAGCCGCGAAGCGGCGAYACGTTTCCGTTAATGGGTATGTTTTTAAGCCAAGCCTCTGGTCACAAACGTAGTAAATCTCACTTATGTTTCTAAAAAGTGGTCGCCTACGAGAGATGYTCGCTTAAGAAACGTTAGCACAGGAAACCCAAACAATGATAATCACAACAGAGGATCCCAACAAAACACGTTGTTCATATTTCAGTGTATAAAATCTTTGATCAATTATGCTGCTTCCATACCATTCCTCAAATTCTTGAAGTTGATTTTATTGGCCTAATTCTATTGTTTTCTATGGTATAACTAACACTATAATGTATTTGATACTAAATAGTATGCTTTTTCAGTTTGTACTCTATTAAAGTAACCGGAAATGTAATTTGTGTAAGCTTTGTTAGTAAATTAAACACACGCCTTTATTGCGTTAGTCGAGGGTGGTCGCCTATGGGAGAGGAAAACAATGAAAAATTCTACAATTTCAACCCCAAAATTTAATGGAYATTAAAAGGTGGTCGCTTACGAGAGTGGTCGTTCAAAGAGAGTTAACTGTATTTTGCTATATAGTCTTTCAGTCTTTAAGGTTATTTTTATTGCACGGTCAAAGGAAAACAACGCTAAAAGATATAATTTGTTGAATTACGAGATAATTCAATTTCTGATAAAGCTTAACTACCAGCATTTCAACGATAATCAACTGTCTTATTCTAGGTTATAAAGCTGCTGTTGGTGAACCTTTGAGAAAAGAATTTGGACACCAAAATATCGCCAGATCCATTACTGGAAAAGTGATTGCGTCCACCAAGACCAGAGAAGAAATGTTGTGTCAGCTGAWGTGCCATGGACTAGACAACTGTGACATGTATAACTTTAACACCATGACGAAACAATGTCAGCTATTCAACGGCCATTTACATCACTCTTGGGTGGAGAGTCCTGGGTATTGGTTGTTCCGCGTAAGAATCAAGGTAAGATGCACGTAGTTTGTGATGTTTTGATTGGATCTTGGAACTGGAAAGTATTAGCCAGGTTGCGAGCTTAGAGTTTAGTGTTAGATTGATTTTGGATCGATTGGGTARACTCATCAGAAAACGGAATCAGACGCCTCGGAAAAATTGTTCGATTTCCATATGGAAATCCTGTAGAAATGACAACAAATTGAAAAATCACAGGTTTAGAACCCATTTCATAAGCAAATAATTTTGCTTTGATCTTGTATTAAAATCGCTGTTAATCTGGATTTCGAATTATTTCACTTTGTTTATTTTTCAATTTCATAATTTACCTTAACGAATCAACCATTGTGAATCTTTACAATTACAAAATTCCAGAGCATTCTTTTTAAATAAATGTGGAAATTGATCTTTATTTCCAGTGGTATTGTGTTGAAGTTTGCTTTATTTTAGACTTGGCAAGTTGAGAATGGTGTAACAATGTTTTTTTTAATGTTTATAGTTTTACCAGTATTTAATAACTAAATGATAATATTTCAATGCGAAAGGTGTAATTTTCCAACATGTTCCTCGCCATTTATGAGTCCACTACAAAAGAGCTCTTAAAATAGTTTTTATTTCCTCTACAGAAATTACTGTTTTTGAAATTCGGAAAATGAAATCCCCAAAATTCATTTCTGCGAATGTTTCAAACTSACTTAAAGGAGAACTCCACTTAATCCTATAGGTATTTCATTAATCGAAGTTCCTTCTCAAAAATTACCAAAGGATTTTGGCGCATCTTTAACGACAAGAGAGAAATATGCGTTGAAACTAGAGAAAATTATCGACGTGAAGGACGCCATCTTGGCAGGCTCATATATCAGCGTTAACTACCATCGTGACGTAATTGCGTGGCAATAAAGTTAAAATCAATGTATTTGTTTGCAATTTTTGTAGTTTAGACCTAGTTTAGTACTTTACAAGAACTTTTGACAAGAAAAATCCCACCCTGCATGGTACCAGGATGCAATAATGGATCAAATAGACAAACATTATATTTTCCCTCTGATAATTTCTTTGCTTTGCTAACATGAACCGCACAATTACGTCACCATGGTAGTCACCGCTTATACATGAGCCTGTCAAGATGGCTACGCTCGTACTCCTAAGCTTGCTTCTCTCGTGTTTTTCGAACTCCCACCGTGTTTATATCAGAGGACAGAGGACAGAGACACGCGCGCCGTTTTATATTTCTTAATCATTAATCGGTCCACATTCTTAATTCAAAAGTATGATATTTTCAGTGTAAAAAAGATGATTGCAAAAACGGTGGAGTTTGCTTTGTTACCGACGAAAGGGAGGTTTGTCTCTGCCCTATTTGTTGGATTGGTCATCTATGTCAAAACAAAGGTATATCGATCAYTTAATTAACAAAAYCAGTGCTCAATAGACGATTTCCGGCAAATGCGGGCGCTTTCAAAAATATTGCAGGTAGGTACTTGAAAACGAGGAACTCTGCGCGAACACTACCTCGTCTGTAAATCTATCTCGTCTAAAAATGTTTTTGAAAGCAATCGCGTATTTTCCGGAAATTATCTAATATTGTCGTTTGCTCTCATTTAATTAATTTTACTACT